CGAAGATAACCAGGGAGTAGCGCGACCCCCTCCGCGTATTGTGTTTTGTCCACAGGATGTTGTACTTAGTTTGTTTTCTCATTTGTGCTTGTCTAATATGAACGTTTCCGTTCCTTCGAAAACGGCGCCCCCGCTGCAGCTCGGGCCTCATTTTAGGATCGGGGCTTTGCTACCGTTGTCCAGAATGGCGCTCTCGGCGTAGCGCTTGGCGACTTTTATGGATCAGAGGCCTTCCTCATTGTTGTCGCCCCCCCCTCCTTTCCCCCCCTCCGCCTTCCCCTGGTCCTCCTGCTCTTCTGCTGATGCTGTACGTCCTCGTTCTCTCTCTTCCTCATCCTCCTTTGACTCCTGCTCATCCTCCTGCTCATCTGCCTCCTTGTCCTCCTCCTGTGTACGCAGCTGTCCTTTCCCGATTGCGCATAGCACGGCGGGGTCGTTGTTGTAGAGTTCCAAGTCCGTTACGGCGGGCGTCGGCGGATAGCGGAACATCTGCGCAATGGGAAGGGATGGGCGGGAGGGGCAGGATGTCATATATGGCGCGAGCACACCCAGCTTGTCGTTCCCCTCGCCCTCCTCTTCCACCCCATGGCCCTCGTCCCCTCTCCATTCTCCCTCCCCTCCTCCTTCAGGGTCTTGCGCTGCAGTCGTCTTGAGGTCCCTCTATAGGGAGGGTACCCCAGGCGTCCAATGCTCCCAAGAGGGTCCCAGGAGAGCCAGGAGACTGCCCAAGGGGGGGGCGGGGTCGGCCTTCGCTGCACCTCGGTCTGACCCTCAGATTGGGTCCTCGTCATCCGCCCCAGATGACCCCGCGAAGCCCTAAATAGTCCCCTTGAGCGCACAATAGCCGAACATAGCCCAAGCAGTAAGATGCCCCTCAAGACGGGCCCTCGAGGGCCCTGGCTCGGGCCTCGAGAAGGCGAACATCAACTGACAATGCAGTGCTGTTTCTGTTTCAGAACAATGCCTCGTGCTCGGCTCGTTTCGTGGTGTGACTTGGCAGTGCCAACAGGCCCCCAAGAGTCCCAAGAGACCCCGGAGAGGCCCCTAGGCTGGAAGATGCCCCCGAGGCGGCCCAAGAGTCCCCAACAAGCTCCCAGGATGGCACCAAGAGGGCCTCACGATGACCGAACGCATCGGCCTCCGCTGCACCCTGGTGTGTGTGCCCCGCCAGACTGGGCCCCCGATCCCATCCGAGACGGCTCAAGAGGACATCCGGAGGATTACAGGAGGCCCCAGGATGGCCCCAACGTTGCCCCAACGTGCTGCAAGTAGCCCCCAAGGACCGAAGCGCCAGTATCCCTGGCCCAGTGACGCATTGTGAGGGTCGTGCTTGTTCTGCCTTTTGCGTGTAGGCTCTCATGTGAGTCGATTGGTTGGATGCGAGACGTGGGGTGGCTAGCGCTTGCAGTTTGGATGCGGTGACTGTAAGCGCGGGATCGAACAAGGAGGGGGAGCCCAGGGCAGAAACAACGTGGAACAAGGACGCCAGGAGATGATGATTGGGAGTGGGAGAGAGGAAGTGCGGACAGTAGAAGGCAGAAGGAAGACAGGCGAGGGAAACTTCAGGGCGGCCGAGAAGAAGGGAGAGGCATGACGAAGATGGCGAGCACCATGATGGGACAGAGACGGCAGAACCCAAGGTGACAGGTGGATATCGGTGACCAAAACAATACGGCGAGGATGTGAGGGAGGGGGATGGGGGGGGAGGAAGCCTCGGGCTCGCCGGCAGTGCGGCCTGCGTGATTCCAGTCGTAGCGCGCGTGCAATTATTTGCAGGTCTGGCAGGGCTTCTCGCGCGGCCGCGCGCGGCCCGCGCCAGGCACTACGCATCCCAGGGCAGGCGAGGGCCGGCCGCTCGGGTCGGCACGCACGCTTGAAGTGAATGGCGAGATGCTGCCGCTGCGTTGCGAACTTCGGCTGGCGCGCCTTCTGCCCGGGCACGGCAAGCGCGTGAGGCCGATCGCGGCGCTGGGATTCGCGCAGCGGGCGCTGGAATGTGCGCCCTCGCTTCGGGCGTCCTTTGCAATCTTCGAGGGGCTCCCTCGTGCCGGTTCTCCTTAGAGTTACGCGGGCGCACACGTAATGCGTGGCGCACGACTTGGATCCTGGAGGGAGCCCTCTGGTCTCTTGCGCCATCGCAATAGCGAAATGCAGTTGACGCGGTTCAGGTGAATCGGGCAGCCTTGACATCTGCACTGGTCCGTATGAGAAAACTCTATCGCGTTCGATCGTATTTGGTTTCAGCTATGGCTTAAGCAGAGTAGCGCGGTTTGTTTGGGTTTCTTCCCGTGGCGTGTCGTCTCTGGTGCCACACGGGCAGTATCCTCATCTTACAACGTGTGTGTGTGTGTGCGTGTGTGTCTATGTGTGTGCGTGTGTGCTTGCGTGCGTGCGTGCGTGTCCTTGTGTGCATGTGTGTGTGTGTGTGCGTGTGTGCGCGTGCGTGTGTGTGTGTGTGTGTGTGTGTGTGTGTGTGTGTGTGTGTGTGTGTGTGTGTGTGTGTGTGTGTGTGTGTGTGTGTGTGTGTGTGTGTGCGGCGTGTGCTGTGCGTGTGTGCGTGTGTGTGCATGTGTGTGCATGTGTGTGTTTCTGTCTGTGTGTGTGCGTGCGTGCGTGGGTGGGTGCGTGCGTGCACGTGTGTGTGTGGTTGTGTGTAAGTGTGTTCGTGCGTGCGTGCGTGCGTGCGTGGGTGGGTGCGTGCGTGCACGTGTGTGTGTGTGTGTCTGTGTGTGTGTGCGCGTGCCTGTGTGTGTGTGTGGTTGTGCGTGTGTGTGGTTGTGTCTCTGTGTGTGTGTGCGTGCGTGCGTGCGTGCGTGTGTGCGTGCGTGCGTGCGTATGTGTGTTTGGTTATGTGTGTGTGGTTGTGTGTGTGGTTGTGTGTTTGGTTGTGTGTGTGTGGTTGTGTGCGCGCGCGCGTGCTCGACCTGATCGACACAACGCTTCCGGGGACCCCGGCTGCTGCAGGCCAGGCATCAGGCCGCGCACCTGAACACGCGCAGGTCGCGCGGAGCAGGCCGTGCTGCGGCCGTACTCTCTGGGCTTGTTGAGCCCGCAGGGCGGCGAGGCACCGTGGGCCCCCCCGGGGGGAAGTTTGCTCGCAGATGTTGCTGGCAGTGGGTGTTCGGGATAGTGCCTCGACGAGGGCCGGCACCAATCGTGGGGGCCCTACTGGCGTCCCGTGGGGGTGGATGTTCAGGGCGCCCTCCGAGGCAGATTTTGTCGAGGACGTCTCGAGCGAAACGGTCATGACTGAAATTCGGAGTCCTCTCCGAAGCCGAGTTGTCGAGGATGTCCCGAGCGAAGCGGCAGTTTTGAGTTCAGAGGCCCATCCGGAGCAGATCTGGCGAGGAGGTCCCGAGCGAAGCGGCCAGCCGAGGCCATTGGAGCACGTCTCACTCGTGTTTTTACGTGTCCCACGAGGTGTGACCTGCGTGGGCCTCGAGCTGGGGGCACGTATCACTTGTACACCTTAGGCGATGCTTAAGAAAACCTAAATTTTCGGCCAGAGTCTCGATTATTCTTAACTTTTGAATGTGAATCCCAAGATTTTGATAGAAGTTCTGGGTTTTAGTCAATTTCTGAGACTATGAATTTCTTAACCCATGATTTCTTAAGCATTTCGCAGGGTGTATTTCCATCTCTCCCTAGGAGAATTGCGGGAATCTGCAACATGGAAGCGTCATCGGCCGGCGGAGTGGGCGAAGCCCTTCTTGGCATGCCGTATGAGTGCTTCTCCCTCTCCATCACATCCTCGATCTCATCATCGATCGTCGAAGGCTGATACGGCGAGGGCCCGCAGGGGGCCCGCCGAATTGAATATTTTCGCTCATCCCGCGGCCTAGACTACTCCATCGCGGGCGTTTGTCCGTGTTTGGGCGGTGGTGGTAGGTTGCTCGAGCTGTTGCGTGAGCAGTCATGGGAGTCTCGCGGCAGAGGGCTCGAACTTGAAATGGCTGTTTGCGCCCGTCTCTTCGGCCCCTCTTCGATCCCCCTTGAGGCCCTCTTGGGCCGTCTTGGGACCCGTTTCGGGGCTCATTGTATCATCGTTGGCGCTTGCCTGCGTGATCGCAGGGACTTTTCGGAGCCTTGTGGGGCATCTTGGGGGCCTGGTGGGACCCCTTGGGGGCCTCCTGGGGGCATCTGGGGGCCTCTTGGGGTCCTTCTGGCAGTCTCGGGGGCAACCTGTGGCGGAAGGGCTCGGAATCTCAGTTCAGGTTCTCCCGTTTGGGCCCCTTTCTGTTGGCCTTTTGAGCCATCTTAGGGCCCTCTTGGGCCGTCTTGGGGCTCTCTTGGGACGTCTTAGGGCTGTCTTGGGAGCGTTCTGGGCGGACTCAGAGAGCGATCTTGGCGGCCTCCTTGGCTGTCCTGGGCGGCCAGAAGCCCGGAAAGGAGGTGACGCCAAAATGTTTCAAGAACCAAGAAGCAAAATCAAGCATTCGTGCCTCTGGGAGCCCTCTTGGGGTCCTCGTGAAGCTCTCTGGGCCGTCTTGGGCGCCTCTGGTGTAATCTTGAAATCATGTTTGGCCATCTTGGCGCGCTCTTGGCCTGAAGCCGTGGGGCCTGCCCCCTACTTGGCGCCTCCTGGGGGCGCTCCTGGGGCGCTGAGGGAGCACTGAGGGCCGCGCCCAAAGAGCCGGCATTCCTGATCGCGACCCGGCCGGGGCCCTGGTGGGACCTTGGGCAGCTTTTTTTTCGTCTGGGGTCCCCCTGGGGCCGTCCCACGCGCGCGAACTAGAATTATCCTGATCCTTTACTAGAGATTTTAGCCCGCCTGTAGCCCGTTGAGCCGGCGAATTTGTGTTCACGAGGCGGCTGATCGTGGTATGAAGCAGTGTTTGGTGACGAGTAGGGTCTCCAAACGGACTGAAACCGTTGTGAACAATGGTCTCGTGTGCAATCACTTTGGCTTGAACTTTACCATCGCGACCGACCGCGCGAGCTCACCAACAAGCTGCATTGAACATTGCTGTTGTGTGCCCAAACCCCGCAGTGACTAGCAGCGTGATTTTTGCTGCCGAATGCCGAGTCCTGTTTCTATCCGTCTCAAGCCCAATGATGCTTTCACTGTCTGGCTCTTCAGAACCAGCACCCCGGCACGTCCCACGACGTCCCATAGGAAGCCACCGACGCTCCGCCACATCAAGGCCGACTATCTGCGTATGGTTTGCAGAAGCCGCTTTCCGTGGAGGATGCTCGGGCGGGACGCGAATTGACCACTCGTACGGCTCCTGGCCGGGAGCATCGTGGGCCAGGGTCGGTGGATGTTCCATCCTGGCTGGGCCAGCAGGAGTGCGTCAGCGATTCTGAGCCAAGGATTGGCTTGGCCAAGATCTTTGTCGGTGGATAGTTGGCGCTCTCACCTGAACGTGTCGTTCGTTCGTTCGAGCGCGTGTCGTGCTTCAAGACTCTGTGTGCTTGATCCGCTGGTTGCCACGTTGGCTCGAGGTTTATGGTGCCTGCGGGAGAGCCCGCAGGGGCGCAGCAAGCAAATACAACATATCTTCGCTGCCGAGTCCGTCGAGGCGGCTCGGCAGCACTTTCCGACCAGTGACAGGAGCAGCTAGCTGATCTGAGAGGGGCGGAGCAGCCCCAGGATGGCCGTGGTCTCCATCGCGGCAGCCCGTGAGGTCGGCGGCGTGGGTCTCAGAGCGTGGCCATCCGCCTGGCGCGCCGCCGTGGACAAGGCCGCGCAGCAGGGACTGGCGGACGCGAGTGCTACCACCACGGACAGCGAGCAGCCCGAGGCGCCCGACTTTGCCGCCCTGTGCGGCCACCTGGAGCTCGTCCTCGCGAGAGCCGTGCCCACCGTGCCCGAGGTCCAGCACCTCTGGGCCTGCCTCAGCGAGCTGGCGCGCTCCCTCGCGCCGCTGGGTCGGGTCTGGCGCCTATCCCCTTTCGGGAGCGTGAGGAACCTGCTCCTCACCCGCGGGTCGGACGTCGACGCCACCCTCTACAGGTCGGACGCCCAGGACGAGGGCGACTCCGCCGCGGCGGTGCGGGTCCTGCAGGGAAGTGTGCTGCCGCTGCTGTCGCGGAGCCCAAGGTTCGAGGTCGTCAGGCTCGTTCCTGGGGCCAGGATCCCGGTCCTGAGTCTGCGCTTCGACGGGGCCGTGGACGTGGACCTCTCCTGCCACAACACGGAGCCGCTGCGGAATTCGCAGCTGCTGCGCGCTTACGCGCAGGTCAGCCCGCTGGTGCGGGGCCTGGCGCTGCTGGTGAAGCTCTGGTCCAAGGCCGCGGGCGTCTGCGGGGCGCAGAGCCGGAACCTGACCTCGTACGCGCTGGCGCTGATGGTGATCTACTTCTTGCAGGTCCACCCCGACTTCGGGCTGCCCCTGCTCTCCACGCAGCTGTTCGACGGCTTCGGGCGCCTGCCGGCCGCGCCGCGCTGGGAGTGCCAGGCCCCGTTGCCCGGGGCGCTGCGGCAGTTTTTCGTGTTCTACGAGCGGGAATTCGAGTGGGGCAGGGAGGTCGTCTCGGTGCGGCTCGGCCGTCGGTGCAGAGCTGGCAGCCCAGAGGTCACCCTGCTGCCGAACGCCGCGGATCACCGCCTGCACGTGGAGGACCCCTTCCTCACGGGCAGGAACCTGAACTGCGTGCTGGGCCTCGAGCAGGAGGCCCGGCTGCAGGCGGCGTTGCGCGCCGCCGAGGCCGCGCTGCGAGGCGGCGCCCTGCCACTGGGCTTGGGCGGCGTGGAGGTGAGCGCTGGTGGAGTGCTTGCTGGCTGCGGGAGGTGATGGTCCCCGCGGGGCTCGTGCCGCGGGAGACCTGCAGGGCGGCCTTCCGGGCCGGGCCCGCTCTAGGCCCGCGGGGGAGGAGGAGGAGGAGGACGCAGGCTGGAGTCTTCGAGGCAAAGGCTTCGTTGGTGGCGCCTGTCCCTCTTCCATTGCGCTGCTGCGCACAACGGCAGCCACGCTCGGAGGAGGGCCCTGAGGGCACTGCACTCAGTGCCTCGCGGCACGGTGGAGGGTTTTCAGGTTGGTGCGCAACTGGCGTGTCGACCAGTGGCTGGCACGCGCTTGGTGTGTCGGCACAGAGACATCGAAAGCGGGTTCATCGAAGTAAGTTGCGCTATCCGCTTTCGGGCGATGAAAGTTGTACACTATGATATATTTGGTAGCCCCAGAGGTCCAGGACCCGTTTCGAGGGCCTGAGGAGATATTGCGGCTTCGACAGGTTTCAATGATATTTCATCGCTTCGCTCCATCGAGGGCCGGTTTTGGGCGGTCTCCTCTGCGCCGTCTTCGGGAGCGGTCTTGGGCCATCTTGGTGCCATCCCCAGCCCTTCCCATCCCTCCCCTGCCCCTCCCTCACATCCCTTCGCCAGAGTGGCGAGGGCAGATGGGGAGGGCCGTGCGTGACGCTCCGTGCAGAAGCAGGCAGCAGGGCGATACAGAAGGAAGGCAGAGGTTCCACCTTCCCGCGCTTGTTCCTCACTGCTTTGAGCCTGTCTCCGCAAAGTGACCGTTTATGTAAGCCATCACGCGGAGGACAGTCCGTCATGGCCCGTCTACCTGGCTCGACGCTTCAATTCCACTCGTGTGCACCGCGTTTGAGGTAGCTTCCCCCTCCTCCTCTTCCTTTTCGGAAAAAGGCAGGATGAGGACAGAGGTTAGCACAGCTGGTAACCTCCTGATGAATCCCCATTTGATCTCCACTTCCCGACGTTCCTTTTTCATCGCTTGTTTCTCATTGCGCCAGTCTTCGCCCAATCTGTTTCACCAGCCTCAGTTGCAGTCTGCTTTTGCGGGACCGCGACCTCGTGCCAACCGGTCCAGCATTCGCGTGCTGTCCTCCGTTCGTTTTGGAGCGTATTGTGCTAAGCACGGCTTGAGTCCTGGAGGTGAGCCTCTGGTCTCCTGCGCCATCGCCATAGCGAAATGCATGTGCCGCGGTTCGGATGGCCTGGACAACCCCGACGTTTGCAGTCTTCGGTCCAGTAAACACTAAGCACAGCATGTTTGGATCTCTTCCCATCGCGTGTCGTCCCTTGTGCTACCTGGGCCGCATCCTCAGCCAGCAAATTGTGTGTTCGACCCGATGAAGGCAATTTTGTAGAGGGCGCCCAACGCAATGCGCCAGGGCTGAATCCGACAGATTTGTTATTTGGGTTATTGATCCCGCAGCGGGTGTCACGGCGGGTCCCCCCAGAGGGGGAAACCCGTACGCAAATGAGTCATGCCATGGCAACGCTGAGGCATCTTGAGGGCCTCATGGAAGGCCCCCCCTGCGCACTCCTGCTTCCTTCGGCCCGCCCTCAGCCGTAGGCCCCGGGGCTTCTCGGCCCGAGGCGCCGCCGCGAGGGCCCTGTGCCCTGCACCTCGATGCCGATCGCAGGAGGAAGGCCCCTGAGACAGCCCCAGGAGGGCCCAAGACGGCCCCAAGACGGCCAATGAGGCCTCCAAGACGGCCCAAGAGGCCTGCAAGACGGTTCCAGGAGGGGCCCTGACGGGGTACCCGAACGGACGTTTCGGGCCCTCGGCCCCACGACGCCCCCAGGAACCAGGAGGCCCCAAGAGGCCCCTAAGAGGCCCAAAGCGGCCCCCAAGAGGCCCCAAAGAGGCCCCCAAGAGTCCTCAGAGCGGCCCCCCACGGGAGGCGTTGAACCGGCCTCCTCAGAAAACCTTGAGGAGGAGGAAGAGGAGGAAGAGGAAGAGGAGGAGGAGGAGGAGGAGGAGGAGGAGGAGGAGG